GGGCACCGTGCGCATTCCCAGGAAAACCACCCTCCTACCCGCCTCTTCCCGGGGCGGGAGCAGCCYGCGGGGTCGGGGGGAGCCCAGGGCTCCCCCAGCACCAACCTGGGCTCCCGCAGGATCTTCCCGGACGCCTCCCCGTGTCCCCCCTGCAGCCCCCGGGAGCCTGGGCGGCCCCGGCCTCTTCCCCAGCGATTAACTCTTTGCGGGACTAACTCAGCCCCAACTTCTCTCTTTCCTGGGGCCGCCGAGGTCCCCGAGTGAGACATTCCTGGAGTCTCCAGGCCAGCAAGGGAAGCAGAGGAAAACCACAAGATGTATCCTGTTATTTGGAGTTTGTTTCTACCTGATGGCGATAAAAATGTCATGAAAACGGCTGTTGTGCTTCAGGTATCCAGCTCTCACTGCAGCTGCTCACCATTTATGTGTTATACCCTTTCCATCCATGACAGATACATGGAGGTACATCCAGGTGGAAGAAGCTACATRAAAAGCTGGAGAGAAGGGGCTTGTGTCACACTACAGGCGACAGCAATAGAGACAGAGAGGGCATCCCTGCATTCTCTGACCATGTTCCTGCCTTACCTCCCAAGGGATCTCTCCCTTCTTCCATGCTATTGTGTGGGAAATCTSGCTGTTAGGAACTGAAAGGAGGCAGAGGAAACCTGAAACTTTACTCGAATAAAGGCAGAGTCCACCAGGCATATCCCTGTGGGGTCTCTCAAGTTGCTGGAGGTTGCAGACCCCCTTTTATCCTAATTTCCCTACCAAGGYGGCCCTCTCCTTTTCCCCATTGTGAAAATTGATTGATTAGCCATCAAATACTTCCCCAGCAGATTACAATCAAAATTTGGGACAAAAAGAAAATCATACATCTCAGATTTATTACCCACACTATTACCCACATATCTGCATTTCTTAGATAATCTTTCCCTCCACCTCTGTAGGATCATATAAACAAAGGAGCAGATCTTTCTTTAATCCCCYTATGTCTTGGATGGTCAGGGGCACAACCACAAATCCAAACCACTGCCTGCATCCTCACCTCCCAGTGGAACCTGTTGTAGAGGCATTTGTAGAATTTTTGTCCAAACTTTAAGAGTTTTTGGCACCTTATACTCTGCTCCCCTTTCTCATTTCCGAAGGGGCCAGAATGTCCCCTTTCTTCTCCTCACTGTCGCCAGAAGCAGGAGGTGCAGAGGGGGCAGGCCCCCAATAAGTCTTGATGACAAGAAGGGGGCAGGCACTAGGGGAYATCCCACATGTCCCCACCTGTTCTCCCCCACCTCCTCAGACCCGTTTCACTTCTCCTCTCCCTTTTGTTACATAGATTCCTCTAGATGYTKCCCTTAACCATATTGACCCACGATCTCTCTCTTCCCACGCTGAAAAGGGACGAGACSCTTTTCAGTATCACCAAGATACAGGCACAAAACCTGACAAAGACTAGGATCATCATCCAGCCCTACACGGGACCACCTAAATCCCCGGTAACTTATACTCTGGCCAAACAAAACAACACTATTTTATCATTATTTCCTTGAGGAGTTCTGAGGGAATGCACAGTTATCCCAAASCCTCTACAGTCTCCCAAGGGACTATATGGGGATAAATCGGGGTTGTCATCCCTTTTTCCARTATCCTCTTTTGGTTTCCCTTTGCTGCTCTCCATAGGCATCCATGTCACGGTCATCACCCCTTTTGCTCCCCGTTGTCGCACAGTACTCACCAGTGAGATTTCAGCAGTCCTTTCTGTCAGACCTAGGGGCACCTCGTGGTCCTTTCCATCGGACCTAGTCCTTTCCATCGGACTACAGAGGACCCCACCCTGGTCTTACCTGCAGATCCCTCTGATCCGCCACTCATCTGTCTCTGGACAGTCTCAGGAACCCAATCTGTCCTCCAGTGCCGGCTGCCATCAAAGGGAGTCAATCACCAAGAGCTTTGGTGAGGCGTGCCGTTGACTCCAATCACACTCCACCATTCCCAGAAGGTGGAAGAATCCTGAACAAGCCTCCAGTTGTGTGGGAAAAACTCACTGTCAAGAACTGAATGTCTACAAAGGAGACAGAGAAGACCTGAAACTTTATTCAAATAAAGACAGCATCCACACAGCAGATCCATGCAAGATCCCTCAAGTTGCTGCAGGGTGCATCCCCTTTTTTATCCTAATTTCCCAACCGAGGTGGCCCTCTCCTCYTCCCCATTGGCCAASGTGCTCAGGAGTTCCAACCTTCCCAGCTGCCTACACCCAGCTCCCCGCCTCCCTCCGGGTGTTCCCACTTCAGGTCACCTGGCTTCTTTCTCTCCCTCCTCCCCTCCTGGCTCCGCTCAGTCTCCCACCTGCAGATGTTCCTTTGTCCTGCTCATCAACCGAAGAAAAGGGAGCAATTTCCTCCTTTGTAAAGATGCAAACTTACAAACTCGTGTGTGTGTGTGTGTGTGTGTGTGTGTGTGTGTGTGTGTGTGTGTGTGTGTGTGTGTCCTGCTCAATCCCCAACTTGTGTGTGTTTCTGCTCACTATATATGCTTTCTTCTTCTGATTACTGTTTTCCCAAGAACTCCTTCCCCACCCACGCAGGTCTCCTGCCCCCTTCCTTGACTTCTTTCTTGTAGGGATGTCCCAATGCTGAGCTTGGTGGAAGTGGTGCTTGAATATTGTCCAGCTCGCCTGGACTCCCTTTCCTTCTGGGTCCCTGGCCCAGGGGATTCCTCCAAGTAGGTACCTGAAGAGCTCAAAGTTGGCTCTTTTGAAATCCAGAGCTGCAATCCCTCTTCCTGCCCAGCTTCCTCCTCGCAGGATCTTGAACTTCAACATGTGGTGCTCAGTGCAGCCAAGACTGCCCCCAGTCTTAACRTTTTCCAACCAGACCCTCTCTGTTAGCACCAGGTCCAGCAGGGCCCCTCTCCTCCTCGGCTCATCTACTATCTGCATCAAAAAGTTATCCACAAGGTTCTGCAGGAACSTCTTGGACTGTTTGTTCCTTGCAGCGTTGTCTTCCCAGCGGATACCGGGGTGGTTAAACACCTCCATGGGAGCTGGGGCCGAGCACCACAGGTCTCCACGCAGGTTGGTCTCAGCACCAAGAAGAGAGGTGAGACCACAGGCATTTTTGTACCGAAAATAACATTTATTTCTCCATATTTTGTACATAGAAAGGAACCGTCATGGTTATCATGGTGCTACCAGAGCAGTGCTCACCCACAGCTGCAAAGCCATAAAAAAAAAAAAAAAAAAGGATTTTATTAAGGAAAAAATAGACACTCTAGCCCGGGTGCCGCTCGCACACCCCATTTGTGTCTCATCTTGCGGCTTCCTGGGGACGCTGCCGGCGACACGGCGTCCCCGAGGGCAGCAGCGCCTCGCTGGGCGCCGCGGCCTCCGCCTCGGACCGTCCTGCCGCCCCCGTTCCACCCGCGGCCCTTCCTGGCGAGGCCGGGAAGGGGGGGCGGCCTCCTGCGGCCTCCCTTGAGCCGCCCTGGAGAGCAGGGAGCCCCTGGGGCGCTGCCCACAGGGACTCGACACCGAGGATTTTCTGGCTACAAACGGAGCGTTTTGGGGGCAGCCAAGGGGATGGGCGTCCTGCGCCCAGGGCAGCCCCGCGCTGCTCCCGCCGGCCCTGCGGGTCCGGCCTGGCCGCGGGGCCGCCGGGATGGGGCCGGGCAGGGCTGCCATGGGTGCGGGAGGCCGAGCGCGCCGCGCGGCTCCAGGTTTTGTTTTTTCTTTCTTTTCTTAATTAACATTTCCCGCCAAATAATCAGATGAGATGACAAGTGCCAGGAGCACCCMAAACGCCACCAAACGGCAAGCCTCTTGCTCGCAAACACGGCAGGAGATGAAAAGCACAGGCTGTGCGGCCCCGGGGCGGGCCGGGGCCCGGGGCAGCTCCCCTGGGGCACCCGCTCCTGCAGGGAAGGCCCTGCCCTGTCCCGGGCAGCAGAGCCCGCGGGCGCCCGGACTTTCCTTTCCTTCTGGTGCCTCCCTGGACTGGCTCCCAGGTGAGCCGGGATCAGCCCCTTTCCTCGCGGGAAGCACCGGGCAATGCCCGCGGGCAGGAACCACGGGGCGGACAGAGCAAGGGCCTCGCGTGCCGGTTCCCACCCCGGAGCATCCCGCAGGCCCTGGGTGTGCCTGGAGGGCCAGGGCACCATCCCCTGTGCCGGGGCTGCCGCTGGCGCCGCGGGCTTCCCCACCCGCACCTGCAGCGACCGACCCCTCCACTGCTTGGACCGTACGAGGGCATGGGCTTAGAGCCAGGCCCAGCTCCAGGGCCTGGATGGCGCCAGCCGGGGCAGAGCCCTTCGCAGCCGGACCCAGCAGAGCCGGGGGGCGGCCACGGGCTCCTCAACCCCGCTGTGCCCAGCCCCCGAGGGGCTCCCAGCGGAGCTGCCCGGAGCCCGGGCCAGGCGGCACCAGTGCCAGGCACCGGCAGGAGGGGCAGCATCCAGACCASGGGGCTCCGCTGGGGGAACAGGGCAGCTCCTCCGCTCCCGGGGCTCYGAGCGGGGCGGCAGGCGCCCTCGCGGCTGGGACTCGCGGCTGGGACCGGGGTGGCAGGGGACACAGGGGGGACGCTCAGGGACATGCAAATGTTTCGGGTAGCTTCACGTTACATTCCATTTTTCTTTTAAAACAAAATCTGATACAAAAATAGAGACATTTGCAAAGTGATTCTGTGGAAGGAGGCTCCGGCCCTCGTGCCCGCGGCAGGGCGAGCGGGCGCCRGGCATGGCACGACACAGCAGTGAAGCAGGCGGCCTCGGCAGGTCCGGGCCGCGCGGTCCCGACCCGCGGAGCGGCCGCGGGCATCGGGCTCCTCGCCCGTCCCTTGGGGCGCCCGCCTCGCCGCGCTCGTCCAGCGGCGCGCAGGGCTCCAGGGCGCCAGTAATAAATAGAGCAAGCGGAGAGCAAGCGGGCAAGCAGGAGCTCCTGAGGGCAACCAGGGCGCAGCTTCCCACCGGCGGCAGCTGGGGAATCGCCTCCTTTCCCAGCGCGCAGTGGGATGAGGGCACAGAAGGTGCTGGTACGAGGACACGACAGCATCTGCAGGAGTCGAAGTCCAGCTCAGTTGACCTACAGGGTTCCCTCCTGCAGAGAGGCGAGGAAGGAAGCGGCTGGGAGCCTCCCGGACTGCTACAGGAGGATCCCCTGGAGCCACGGAGCTTTGGCAGGTCCGGCTCATCAGCACGTCCCAAAGTAACAGAGACTACAGCAGTCGGGGTTAAGGCAGCTTTTAAGGTCCCTGCTTTGGCACCCCAACGTGGAGACGGGTGTAGGTGGGGCGGTGGCTCTACCCTCCCTGCCGGGGCCTCGTTGTGCCCAGGCCGCTCGCCTCTCCACGGAGGCGAYGCCGAAGGCTGGAGGGGAGAGCTAGAGCGAGAACAAAAGGCTCAAAGCTGGCACAAGCAGCCCCAGGAGCAAGAAGGAAACTCAGTTACCCCTCAGGCCCATACACAGATTTCCAGAATCATCCAGTGTATTTTGCTTCCTCTGTCAAGCGCTTTTCTGCAGGATTCAGCCCTAGGGCAGGGCCCAAAGTCTAGCTCAAGTGGCTATTGCTCTTCTGGGTTCCCTTAGGGACCCCTCCCCTCTGCTGCCTTCTCCTTGTTCTTGAGCCCCAGGCTCGGTACTGTACTCACGTCCTCTTCCTTCAGCAGCTCGGAAACTAACGTAGAGGTGAGAACACAGCCATTTTTTCGCTTTCTTTTTCCTGCAAAAAGAAAAAAAAAAAGAAAAAAACAGGTTAGAAACAGGATAGACTGCCCCTCAAAGCTACTCTGGGGACAAATCCTTTTTCTCCAGGGCATTGGCCAGCTGGATTGGAGGAAAGCCCCAGAACTACCTGGCAAATACTCCTCAAGACACCAGGAATCCCAAAGTCGCCTCCACGGGGGCCAGAGCTGCAAAACTCCTGCCCCTCACAGGGTGGGAGCTCTGYGAGGAACGTCTGGGGAAGCCCAGTTTGGGACAGCCAGGACCTCCAGGGTGGCATTAAGCAAAGGCAACAAGTCTCGCTGGAAACATCTCCCCACCTAAGATTTATGGTGTGTGGAAAGGATTCCTGGAGGAAGATGGGGAGCAAAACGTTTGTGGGAGGTTTGTATGCAGACTGTAAGCATGGAAAGAAACATCTGGCAGCTCCAGCGAGCAGGGCCATGGTGACTTTGGTGGCCACCAAGAACACAGTGCCAAGGCAGGCAGGGTCAGGAGCTCCCTGTGGGAGAGACCTGCTCTGCAGCCACAGCATCAGGTAGGCATGGGCAGGAGCCCACTGCTCGTGTCCTGGAGGTCCCTTTGCTCCTGCGACCCCAACTCCTTAAAACCAGGAGCCTGAGGGCAAGAAAGGGAGGTTCCCATCTTAAGCGAGGTGGCCTGGGCCTCGAGCCTTCACTGCAGCAGTCGCAGCTCCCTGACCAGCAGCACTGTGGCACAACCAGGACCTCATGCCCTGCATCTGCCTCCATAAGATGTCCAGGTGCCACCCATGGGAGAGGATAAAAGGGAAGAGCCCCGTCATCATGCTCCTAGTGGGCTGTGTCAGGAGAGCACTATAGCCCTCCGAAATCCTCCCCTGTTCTCTGCTTGGTCTTACCCTTAAGGGCAAGGTGCAGGGGCCCAGGGCAAGGGCCGGGCAGTGCAGAACACGTGAGATGTCTTTACAGCCAAGGCCCGAGCACGTGCAGACCCCGACAGGACACTGTGGAGGTTGAGCTGCCACAACGGGAACAGCCGTSTCCCTCAGACGGGCAGAGGCAGCAGCCACCCCGCGCTAGCTCCATGCRGTGCATCCCGGTCCCACCACGGTCCCCCATGCACAGCCTGCAACGGGCAGCAGCCCCAGCCGCGCTTCATGCAGCAGCCCCAGCCCTGCTTCGTGCACCGGCTCCTCGGTGGGGACGTGCAGGCACAAACCCCTCTGGCATTTGACACAAGGCAGGAGGAGGGAGGGGAACACAAAGCAGCCCCTGAATTCCTGCCCGGGGGCTGCAGAGGGGAGGGATTAAGGAAGGCTCTTCCAGCCCCGTGTGCTGGGTGCCCGGCCGCAGCCTCGGGGAGCAGCCGGCTCAGGGCACACGCAGGAGGCCGACACAGCAGCACCGGGCAGCTCCTCCACCCGATTTAAAGGCTTCTTGGGGGCGACAGAAATGGCCACCACGAACCCATGTCCTCTTTCAGAGTCCCCTTTGCACCCCCTGCTCCTCCATGCCACGGAGCACCTGGAACAACCCCCAGGCCCCCTCCTTGCCCCATGTGCCTTGTCCTGGTCCCACTTCCATCCCCAGCTCTCCAGAGGTCTCTGCTTTCAGAGCTTTCTCACATCTCTCCTCCATGGCCACAGAGAGCAGCCCCATCCTAAGGACACCCAAGACCCCTCCCTGCAGCCTCCCCAGGCAGCCTCTGAGCTCCTCTCCGGCCGTGCTAGCTCTGCTCGTGTCCATGCCCCTCCGGGCTGCCCTTTGTGGTCCCTTTCTGCAGTTTATCCTCCCGCCTCCCTCCCTCCCTCCCTCCCACCCAAAGCCCCTCCGCTCCAGCCCTTGCTGCTCTCTGTAACCTCTCCTTGCAGCCCCGATCACTTCCCGACTTTGACCTGAATCCAGGCAAGAACCAGTCTGCTCTGTGTCCAGTTACATCCTTGAGCCAGAGCTAAGACTGAAGAGTATTTTTGCTCTCTGTCTTACCTGCACCCACAACCTGCATCTTTATTTGAGCCCCACCTGCCAGGGCAGGCACATCCCCACGTCATGTCCCCAAGGGACTGTTCCCTGGCACGGAGAGCAGCTACCCAGGTGGGGACAGGGGGAGTAACTGAAGCAGGGAGGGTAGGACAGGGTCCCTGCCCCAGGCATCAGCGCAGCCACCGAGTTGGGAACAAGGCACGGAGAAGCAGGGAGGGAGGGAGGGGAGCGAGCAGAGAGACAGCGGGAAGCAGCCGCTCCGGCCGGATCCAGGAGCCCCCAGGGCAGCAGCGCCGGGGGCCTCCGGCTCCCAGGCAGCCAGCCAGCCTGGGCCATGCACCAGAGCTGGGAAAGCACTGAAGTTGTCTTAGTGATTTTTTAAAATAGAAAAGCAAAAAGAAGAATGAGGAAGAGATGGAAATGCTCCAAGAGCTATGATTGAGAATGGCCCTTTTTGAAAAACTCTGCTCTGGGAGCTGCGGCCTCGGGCTGCAGGCCGCTCTGCGGCTCCTCCTCCAGGCCTCCCTGCCGGGCACACGGGGGTTACACCACGCGCCAGGGGCACGGAAGAGCAGCATGCCCACGTGTTACCCGCTCAGGCGCAGCCTCCTCCACCTCACAGAGGGACAGGAGACAGTCTAGCAGAGGAAAGGAGAGAGTCACCGGTCAGGGCGCCCCGGGGGCTGCTGCAACATCCCCCCCACCGCATGCCGGGCTCCCAGCCCTGGCGCAAGAGCTGCTGGAGCGAGCGGGTAGGGGAGGTCACAGACGGAGCTTCCTCGGGACTCCAAATGCGAGAGAAATGTGGCCCTTGCACAAGAGATGGGCACAACATCCATTGTTTTGCACACTCCCAGTTTGATCTGAATGGGCAGGCAGCCTCCAGAGCCTGGGTGCTCCGTGTCGCTTCTCTCTCCAGGTTTGCTCAGAATGTCCCCGCTGCAGGGTGGCAATTTCTCAGCGCTGGCTCCTGCTGACACCCTTTGTGCAGCACAGATTGCCAGAAACCAGCTCTGATTCATGAGGCTGCGAGCAGCAGGCTGGACAACTGCAGGGCCGGACGGCGGCRGACACTGAGCCGCTGTGCGCACATCCTGCGGCTCCCGGCGCCGCGCTCCTTCCTTCCTCAGCTGCAACAACCCCCTTTCGCTGCCCTCCCTGCCCTACAATGAGGCCTTTGAGCTCTTCAGCCGAGTTCCCAGGCAGCTTTGCCCATTCCTTTGGAGTCTGGCGCTGGAGCTGCTGGCGGCTGAACCCGCACGGCTGCCCGTGGAGGGACGGGAGTCGAGGTCTGAGGCACCAGATCCCCCCAGAGCTCCTGTACGAAGCGTGGAGGACAGAGCTCCTGCCACAAACATCAACACCCGAGACCTTGCAACCTCTCGCCAACAGTAACGCATTACTGGGTGGCATCAGGACATGTACTGTGTATTTGCTACCGGTGATTAAAATGTGATCTGTATCACTTCCTGCCAGTGTCTCTTTTCCTTTCCTTTTTCCTGCCTCTCTCTTTTCCTCATCTACCCACAAACACCCACCTCTCTTTAGTGCTCTGCAGGGCTCCATGTTGGTGTATTCTTCACAGGGACACCGTCCTCGCTTTCTCTCCAGGGCTTGCAGATCACYGGCCTCTCCATCTTGACCCAACTACTGAACCCTGCTTGAAACCTTCCCAAAGCCCCCAAGTTGATAGCTGCCATTTTTCCTTTCTCTGTCCTGAATTAGCTTCCCAAGGAGTCTCTCTTTGCAAGTCTTCCTGGCAGGAAGACAAGGGYCTCATCTGGACCCCACTCACCCATGTTCAAGGTACAACCCTACCTGACSAGCCTAGAAAGGAAATTCTGATTCCTGCTCCACATCACTGCGTGGGCAAAGAGCAGCCAGCGCATGAGGGCACACCGTGCAAGGAGCCGTGCAGGGCAGCACCAACAGGGGAGGGCAGAGAAGGGCTGTGATTAAAGGGACTGAAAGGATGTAACGTGTAAATGACGACCAGCTGCAGCGAGACCAGCTGGGGGTCTGAGCCATGACATTTCCATGATCACAACCAGCTCGGAACAAACTCCAAATAACAGGATACATTTTGTGGGTCTTCTCCTGTTTCCTTTGCTGGCCTCGAGACTCCAGGAATGTCTCCCTCGGGGACCTTGGAGTTTATCTCCTTGGAGTTCCACCTCGGAGTTTCTCTCCTCTGGGAGCAGAGTTAGTGTGACGTGTGAGCGATACCCACCTGGACGCGACTCCCTCTTCCTGCGGAACGCGTCCCCCGACTGCAAAGCCTCCAGCAGACTGTCCATCACTCCTGTCTCGTCACCCTCTGCAGAGRAAAGAGGACATCCAGTGAAATCCATGCAGCAGAGAAGGGGAGCAGGCTCCAGCATTGCCAGAAGGGCTGTCAGCTCTGCTCTATTCCCAAGCAGCTGKTGTTAAACCCCTGTGTAGCAGATGTACTGCTGTGCAGACCAACCTGCTCCCAAGTCAGGGCACWGRAGGGCTGAGGAAAGGGCAATGGGAGCCGCTACCTCAGGCTGAAGTYRCRGGGCTGCCCCACAGAGCTGCAGGTCACCCAAGTGCTYCCAGGCTCATGAAGCAGCCCTGGCAGAGCTCACTTCACTATTTATCACCTTCCCCCCCTTCCCTTTGGAAAATAAACTTGCAAAGAAATCTGGAACACGTGTGGTTGGAATAGAGGAGGCTGATGCCAGACTTGTGCATTAGTGGAACAGTAAAACTGTTTGGAAAGCAGGGAGACGGGAGTGCTCAAGCTGACAGGCATCAGGCCTCTCCCTCTCAGGACACAGYGCCGTAGCACTGAATTCTTGTCCATTTGGTCCTAYTGCTCTTGGTGTGTAACTCACATTTCTGAATTTTATTTAGATGAGAAGTCCCTCCAAATAACTCTCAAGTTCAGACAGGTTTTCTGTACCCATCTAGGCTTTGCACATCTCTGCAGGTGACTCACCTAACCCCCATGTTTAAAGCTCTTAGCTTTAAACCAAGCTGCTGTTCTCACACACTGAACTTCACCAGAGTATCCTGATTTTTTCTTAYTGAGAAGGTATCTTCAAACCTCCATCCCTCAGCACGCAGCTCCAGAACATCTCTTTGCATTTGTAGTTCCCCTGCACGTGCTGAGAGCAGGGCTGTGTCCAAGCCTCTGCTCTCCCCCAAACCCAACTGCACCTCATACCTGCATTCATGTCTATCAGCTGCTCCCTCTTCTGCTGCTTCTCCAGCCGTTCCTTCTCAGCCTTCTCCTTGGCCAGTTTCGCTCGGCGCATCTTCTCTTCCGTTTCGCGCCGCTTCTGGTTATCCTTGACAGCTTGCTGCAACAGGAGACACAGATGCTTAGGGGCTGCACGATGGAGGGGATGTGGGGACAAAACCAACCCACAAAAGCAGTTAACAATCCCCTTTTGAGAGGAAAAAGTGGTAGATCTGGGCAATGAAGGAAACAGAACCAAGGCTAGTAGGAAGAAAAGGGCATCTTGCTCACCAGGAATGCATTTTTGAAGTTGCTCAGATCCATGAAGAAGTCCTCCATAGAGGTTTTCTTGGGGTCAAACAGGAAGTACTGGCCTAGCTCCTTAAAGAGGTTTTCCATGTTTGAGTGCATCATACGCAGCTTGTCGTACTGCTCCTTGGCATCCTTAACGAAGCTGTGAAATCCACAAGTCAAGGAACAGCAGCCAGTTGCTAGCTAGGAAGCAGCAGAGCGGGCAAGAAAACGACAGAGATCCCCTCCTTGTGGCAAACAGCATTCCTGGGGCAAAAGCTGAATCCTCCCAAGCCACAGGGTATCGCTCCTTAGGCAGCACCACAACAAAGCCATTTTCCATACGAGAGGACCTTCTGCTCTCTYGCTCCTCACACTTTGCTGAGCTTTGTGAATCCCTTCTACCATAACTCACACTCATTCTGGAACATTGTCCTTCGTACAACCAAAAGGATATGGTCATTTTTTCCACAAATTTGTCCTTTTCATCAGTAGTAACTGGAAAATTCTCAATGTCGCGCTCCACGTCGGAAATTTGTTTCCTCATCATGTCCAAGTTTTTCTGCAAATTCTCAGCAGACACTGAAAAAAGGATCCCCCAAAAGACATACAAAATGAGAGAGGAGCCTTCCCCAAATATTTGCCTGAACCAGGAGCTTGGTTTCTATCCTGCAACTGCTATCGGGACTGTACCTGCCCCCTGAACACATCTTTGGTGTCTGTCAATCCAGGCTYAGGCAAATAGCACTCTTTCCACTTGATGATCAACTGCTGCAAAACGGCACCTCAGTGAGGAAGATCTGAACATCAGATCTTTGAGGAAATCCGGCCCTGACTCCACTTCCTTCCTCCCTGGATACTGACTCAGCAGCCCCTGCTCTTTATCACAGCATAGAACAGGGGATGTCCTTTCTTCCACCCATCGGATCTGCCTGTTGCATTGATRTTCCCCACACTACTCTGCAYGGTAAAGCAYGGCCACGGTGAAAATAACATTTCTTTGGGAAGCAGCCTCTGGCTTTGCAGGCACCTTCCATCGAGCACCCCCGATGTATGRACAAACCTCAGCTAGTGTTGTTCAGAAATGCCAAGATCCAAAGCCCTGGCCCCACTCGTGTGAAACCTCCATCCTCTGCTCTCCCCAAGACACGCTGAGGGCCCGCTGCCCTCGTGYGGTACCTCGGCTGGCCTTCTCCACGTGGATGAGCTCGTCGGGAAACGTCAGCAGGTTGGGGTAGGACTGTTCACACTGTTCAGCCACGAAGTGCAGCAGCGTCAGCTTCTGATCCGAGGACTTCGTGTCTCGGAGCTGGTAAAAAAGAACAAAGTTGTCACCAGAGGAGGTCTGTATGAAAAGTATTTATCCATCAGCCCACAGCTATTCCCAGGCCCACCTGCAGGTTGCTAGGAAATAAACAGAGTGTAGGGATGAGCTGCCCGTGGAAAAGCTCTCACCTTGCAGAGAAAGCTGATGTTGAATCCAAAGGCCCCGGCATTCCGGGAACCGGCGTTCATGAAGTTGCCCACGAGCAGAATGAACTCCAGGAGGCCGGAGAAACTCTCACTCTTGCGCACTTCTTCGCAAGCTGCCGTCACCGAAACGATCTCGGGCTTTATGTTCTCTATCTGTTCATTGAACTGCAGCTTGAAGAGGATGGCATTGAGCCGGGGTCGAAGGCGAGAAACTGAGCTAATCTGAGAAGGGAACGGCAAAGGAAAAGTGTTCACAAATAAAGGGGGAGAAGTGAGGTGCTCTGAGAAAGAAGGGGGTGAGAACAGACGGTTACTCACCACGAGCTACAGCTCCTACAGACCCACTCTATGGGAGCGGGTGTCAAACCTCCCGAGTCCCAAAGACGCCCAGAGCAGTTGCTCTTCAGAGACTCTCACCCACTCACACTTCAGGCATCTGCCTTTAACCCACACACCACCTTGTAACGCAGACCCTCCCCACCAAGAGAAGATTAAGTCAAGGTGGCGGAGGAGGCAGGTGAGCAGCACAGGATGCACAAACACAGCAGCAGCAGCAGCCTTTTCTACTGCACAGAATCACCACAGCCGTTCACTCTCAGAAGACCAGATCCAGGGCACATTAAAGCCTGCAGTCCTGTGGACTTCAGACACCTCCAGCACTTGTTTTGTGCAGGCCTCAGTCCAAGTCCAAGGCAGCTACAAGCACAGGGATCAGCAGGGGAGTAACGCACAAGTTTTTGTTTCAAGAGAGGAGAGAGAGGCTTCTCCTGGGATGCGCTGACTGATCTGGTCCCAAGGGACTATCAGCCAGCCCAGCTGCCACAGGATCCTGCGGCAGGACCCACACATCCCTGAAGCAGCTCGTTAGGCCAGGCCTTCTGCTTCTCACTGCTACACTGAGCGAACAGTTACCAACCAACTGGGGTTGGTAACTGGAATAGGAATAGACATTCCTGTTCAGAGACAGCACAAGGAGTGCAGAGCTGCGGTGGGACAGCATACAGGGAACAAAGCAGTGAGAAATGCGATTTCTTAATTAGAAAAAGGTGCTGCTGCATCTTTCTTGGCTCAAGCAGAGGGAAAGGCACTCACCACAACCCCAAACTGCTCCGGTTCTGCCAGGTCATTGTACTCATCCTTCAGTTCGGCGAGCATCTTCAGCTGCTCTGGCTCTGGCATTTGCTTGATCAAGTTCTACAAGAGAAATGCAGACGTGGGGTTCTGGTACCCTGGTCCCAACACAAGCAACTGACGGAGATGTCCAAATGACAGTGTAAAAAGAGCCTGGTTACACTCTATGCTCTTCCCACACGAGAAAGGAAGGAGATAAAAATTTCAGGAAAGCTCTGCCGTGAACTGGGTCGCTATCTCCCAAACTGCAACACAGCAAAAGCTGGGAAGCCGCCACGTACACAACTGTCCCTCCTGCGTGTGCCCAGTCCACAGGCTCACCTGGATCATGGACTCGGTGAGCACAGCTTCATTCACCTCCAGGATGACAGTCTTGATTTCTTCATAGGGCATGCGGAAAGAGCCCAGGAAAATGGCTGGACCCAAAAGAGAAACACAGGTCAATCTTGGGGGACAGGGTCCTGCTCAGCGCTTAGAAGGAAACGGTCCCAGATCCTGTCACACTCACATAGGTTCTGYGCAGTCTTGGAATCCAGCACTTTCAGCTCCTTGACTTTTTTCTTCTGAGTTGTCTTTTTCTCCTCTCCRCCCTCCTGCTCTTTTTTGGCTGTGAATACAGAAAACACAGGCGAGTTGTAAAAAACACAACGTGCRGGAGCTTWKCTTCATGTGCTACCTGAAGTGAACTGTCCTAGCAATTGATGRCAAAGTCTCTGTAACGTGGCTATACCAAAGGTTAGAGAAAGCTCAGGGTGCTGCTCTCCTGGCCTTGTCACASACACAGTCTTTACTTCTCCATGAAGATAAAAGAAATAACCTYGCTATTATTGCTTTACATAAAGCCTGGGACTTCAGGCCAAGATGATGTCCACCTCTGCTTCAAAGTACAATGTAAGACACTGAATGCATGGAAGTTGTGGCATCTGGCACAGGAAAGGAGCCCCAGCAGATTCCAGTGCCATTCCAGGTCCTGGGCCCTCGTGCAGCCTGTCAATAATCCTCTCCTCTGTCTTGCACCAGTTTCTGAGGCTCCCTCCCTTCTCACACAAAGTATTTTGTAAGTGACAAACCCAAGTTTAACACGAACTCCCCCAAACCCCAYTCCTCTGAATTCACAAGCCTCCTGTAGCAGCCTTGTCTCACCCTCGACACCTCCTGCTCCTCCGTGACATGGAGYACCTGGAACAACCCCCAGGCCCCCTCCTTGCCCCGCGTGCCTCGTCCTGCTTCCATCTCCCAGCTCTCCAGAGGTCTCTGCTTTCCGAGATTTCTCACATCTCTCCTCCAYGGCCACAGACAGCAGTCCAGTCCTAAGGACGTCCCAGACCCCTCCGTGCAGCCTCCCCAGGCAGAGCCTCTGAGCTCCTCTCCAGCCGCGCTAGCTCTGCTCGTGTCCATATTCCTCCAAGCTGACATTCCTACAGTTTATCCTCGTGGCTGGGGCTGGTGACACTGCAGCGTTTCCCCCCAACCCCGCAGCGTTTCCCCGGGTCTCTGCAGACGAGGGCAGCTCCAGGGGCCCCGTGGGGAGGCCGGGCGGCCGCCGCGGCGCCTCAGAGCCGCCCGCGCACCCAGCCGAGCTCCTGGGGCGCCCGCCACGCTCCGAGCCCAGCAGCGAGGAGCAGCCCAAGGGGCTCCAGCGGCCGCTCCAGGCGGCGATTCCAGCGCTGCATCCGCCTGGGGACACGAGCACAGAGCGGCACTGCGCGCATTCCCGGGAAAACCCCCCTGCCTTCCCCGGCAGGACAAGAACCATGTGTGAGAGGAGTCAAAAGCAGCGGGGAAGAAAGCCCTGGCCAAGAATGGGGTTTGGACACTAACACATCCTCAGGGCTGAGTGTTTGCTGGAGCCAGGCAGGAACTCAACCCAGAAAAGGCAACCCCTGCTCCTCGGCCCCTCTTGCGGCCGCTCAGCCCGCGCTGCCAGCGCCAGCTCCCGGCCACCTCCAGCCCCACAATTTGCCCATGCTCCCTGAGCCGCGGCTGCCACCCCCTTTTGCAGCAGTGCCGCCAAGGCTGCTGCCACCAGCAGAGAGCCAGGGGCCACCTGGTGTCCACGAGCAGCTCTGCAGCCCTGCCCGCCACTGCCAGGGCCCCAGCCAYGAAAACACCCGCAATTCAACCCGCAGCGCCCGTGGGGAGCAGCTCCGCCCGCCTCTGCTGCTGCCCCCCGCCCCATCCCTGGGAAAGGGTCGGCTTCCCCTCTGCACCAAACCCGGGAGGAATCCCGGAATATCAGTGCCATAGAAAACAGGGAGAGGCTGTGGTGCTTCTGGTGTTGCCATGCAGGGAGATGCAGAGTGCAGAACTGTCCCTGCCCTGCGCTGAAACTGTTTCAGGGGTGCTAAGTGCAACCCCTCAGGGGTCGACATGCACCTCGGTGCCTGGAGAGGCAGATTTCTGAGGCGTTTGGCCTCAGGCACCTCTTCTCTGAGGATCCAAATCCAYGGCCAAAGCCTCAAAGCGAAAAGACCAGCACGGGAAGAGCGAGGGAACCTCTGCCCTAGGCAGCTGTGAGGCAACGTGAGCGGCACCAGCAGCCGCCTTCCCAGCTCAGGCCTCGAAGGCAACAGCTCCAGAACCGAGGCTCGTGCCAGGCCACCTTTCCCAGAGGAGCAAAACCTGTGGCAAGAACACCTCAACCGTCCAAGAGCAGCCCCCAGGGAGCGCGAGCTCCCTCACGGAGCGCGACAGGGCAGCGCGGCGCCTCAGTGCGGGCGCGGTGCGGCGTGAGGAGCGGCCGCCCGCGCAGGCCGCGAGGAGCGGCTCTCCCAGCGCCTCCGGACACCTACAGGGATAGCACACAGGGACAGCACCTGTGTGAGATACCAGCACGTGGAACATCTGCTCGGCGGGGTAGCTGAATACGAGAAGAGGTGGAAAAACGGAGGAGTATCTGGGATCCAGGGAGGGTGAGACACCTGGCAGCCGGCAGCGCCTCGCTCTGGCCTCAGTGAAACATGRACAGGCACCAGGAATTCCTCAAGGACAAGGGAATGCAGTTGCCATCCTGCAGTGGATACAAGGCAGAAGCTGCAAAGTTCATAGACTCACAGAATCACAGAAACCTCAAGGTTGGAAGGGACCTCTAGAGATCATCCAGTCCAACCCCCTGCACACGCAGGGTCACCTAGAGCACGTGGCCCAGGGCTGCATCCAAGCAGGTTTTGAAGATCTCCAGAGAAGGAGACTCCACAACCTCCCTGGGCAGCCTGTTCCAGGGCTCTGTCACCCTCAMTGTTAAGAAATGTTTCCTTAAGTTCCTGTGAAACTTYTGGTGCTTCAGTTTGTGGCTGTTTCCTCTASTTCTACCCGTGGCCACCACCAAAGAGAGGCCGATTCCATCCTCCTGAACCCTCCCTTGAGGTGCTGGTATTATAGACACTGCTCAGGTCCCCCCTCCGCCTTCTATTTTCCAGGCTGAGCAGGCCCAGCTCTCTCAGCCTCTCCTCAAAGGGCAGGGTAAAAGCAGGGCTGCATTGGCCGGGAATYGAACCCRGGCCTCCCGCGTGGCAGGCGAGAATTCTCCCACTGAACCACCAATGCCAGCTGTGAAGAGAGGAGAAGAGAATGAACAGAAACAAGTCAAGACTTGAGGAGCCAGGACACACCCATCTTCACCTTCTCAGGCACCTCTGTGAACACATATGAGGCCCYGGAGGTTGAAAGGCACTCAATGGATGGGGAGGGCGAGGGTGCCTCTCCACCTCAGATATTGCCAGGGTGAGAAAGGCCAAGCCCCCATCTTGCAACCACGTGAAGAAAACCATGAAGAAAACGCGAGTTGTAGTTGTGGGGGGAACAGAGGGTCCAATATGGAGGAGGGACCCTCTTTTAACGGAAGCCTGTTGCCTTCCTGACATCCAAGTTTAAGGACATTACCAAGAAACTTCCCGGCTGTCATTGAATGGGATTCATCTTTCCCAAAGGGGGAAGAGGGTCTTTGGTCATGAGCTAGCGGGGCTCATCGAGAGCCTTTAAACTAGATTCCACAGGGGAGAGGAATATCATCCGTGATGCTGGCAATAAGGCGCTGGACGATTTTTCAACCTCAGCCTTTCTGTGATTCTGTGATCCCACAGCAAATACAAAAGCAGCTTTGATATCTGATCTAGGAGTATATGCCAAAACAAGGAATCAGGTTTTGGATTCCTRAGATGCTGGAGGAACACACACAAAGCAGATGTGGTGGGCAGGCAGTGCAGATGCGGCTCGCTATCTGCGCCCTCTTGTCCAAGGGGATGTATCAGCTCTCAGTGCTTGCCTTGCCAGACCAGCTGCAGGTCTGCAGTGCCACCACGTGCGTTTCCAGCACCTCCCAGGCTCCAGGCTTCTCCAGGCTGCTCATCACCGGCTGCAGCATCACGCAAATCCCTGAAGTCAAATCTGACCGAGCATTAGGTGCTTTGGCTCACTGCTGATGTGACCTGACTCTGAGGACCRAGGGAGCACTGAGGCTCTGCTCCTAAGCCCTTCTAAACTCTGTACCAAGTTCAATGTTAAGTACTACTTAAGATGTTAACTAATATAGTAAATCTCAAAGGAGCAGGGTGCAGAGCCAGCTGCAGAGCTAGGCCAATGGTAAACAAGAACTTACAAGTTCYGTGGGATGCAAGTGGCCTCTGAGGCTGCAGCTCAGTTAAGACCTTCATCCAGATAACTCTCCTGGTGTCAAGAGCTGACTATAGATAGAGGTCACTAGAGACAGCACGGCCACCCTTCCCTTGGTATTTCCCAGTTCTTGAGCACACAGCATCCCAACAATCATGTTTTAGCAAGCCAATTCCCATCGATTTTGGAGAGAGTTTAGAACATGAAGAAGGCTCAGAGATTGCTGYCATGCTCAACGGTCTCATTTTAGGATGCTTTTTGCAGGAAAGCTTGTGCTTACAGAGAGCAGCAGAGAAATATGATATGCCTTCTAGGAGAACCCTGGACCCAGTCAGGCCCTTCACAAGCACTGAAAGGTCAGACGTGACCTTGCCGCCGTGTTGCAGGATGTTCCCATTAAGCACATGTCTGAGGGGCTTCTGAGAGCTGCCAGAAGACACTGAAGTGCAAGGCAGCACCATCAGATTAGCTAAAAGGGAAATCTACTGTCTATAAATACACTGGTTCTTCTATGGAAGGAGAACGGGATGGCAGATTTGTATCAAGGTTTCTTCCTTTACATATCCAAGTAAATCCAAGCCATGAGGATCAGTGGAAACCAATCCATGCTACCAGGAGAAGAGGTAACATGCAGAAGACAACAACTGAGAACTTACATGTGGGCAAGCGAACACAGTATCTTCTGCATGCAGGAATCATCACAGTGCAGCAGAGGAAACTTGAAACAGCCACCTACCACAAGGACATCAGCACTAGAGGGCCTGGTGGACAAGATTTGCACATCCTTTTCTCAACTATTTCACCCTTTCTCAAATGTTTCAAAGCAAAGGAACAAAGAGGAAAAAGGCAGCTGGAGCCGACACAGTAACCTGACAAGACAACCTGGGAGCTACAGCAACCTGTCAAGTCTATCCCTGTTACCAGCACAGGCACAGAGACCAAGCCAGCACGTCATTGCCAGGAGATCCTTACCTAGGTCTACTACCACTGCCTGAGTGTCTCTCACTAACAGGTAGCAACTCCCATTCCCATGGAATTGCACTTCAAGGACTAGATTACCCCAAACCATTGAGAAACGACAGATGCTACTTACTCTTGGAGGCTACAGGTGATGCAAGATGAATCCAGAGAGGCACAGTGGGTTATGACGGGGGGGAGAAAAGAAAGAATTAGTTCATCTGAAGATATCTGACTATAATCTTTACATTTGATGGCAAGCTTCCCACTCTCTTGCAAACATATGGTCTTCTATATCCATAAGTACTTTAAGACACTTTTCTGCGTGGTGACAAATTACTTGGAGATGCCCCCACGTTCATTTTCCCTCCCTCAACAGGAGGCACGTAGCCTGTAACGCCCCTCCCCAGGCAGCCAGCAGCCCTTTAAACACTGTCCTGATGCYTAGTAAGTGACACCGAGCCGGGCACTCACACTTGGTTTGGGCAGAAAAGGTCAGCATCAGCCTGGCAAAGAGATCCTCGCTCTCAAACCGCTCTTCTTTAGCCTTGGTCCAGAAACAGTCCTGAGAGAGGTCTTCAGCCACGATCTGCAAGGAAGACAAAGCAGATACATCTGGAAACAAGCAGTATTTATCATCTTTCTCCATATACTTTTTTTTGAACCATCTTCTCTTTCTAACCTTCTAAAGTTCTTCAGAGAAACTATGTCMCAACTTAAATGCATCTCTGTGGTTCATAAAATAGATCTCCTTCTTAACCACTGTCTTCTCATCATCCTCATAAATAACCTGAGAATACATTTTCCTTTCTTTAAACACCAGTCTGGAGCTGGAGACAAATCACCATTAAAATCTGACTCTCACTTCTCTTTCATGGACCACCCTCTTTCACCGTCCCCTCAGACATTCCTGACCCCTTGCACCCAGACTTCATTTTCATTGCAAATCACTCCTGCCTASTTAGAAGGAAGAAAGAGCTGGGGGGGGGAATGTAATTTAAATGCCAAAAGTAGTTCAGACTTTATCAAGCAGGGTAATTATCTGCTGCTTGCATATTTCCAAAAGGTTGTGCTTATTAAATTGTTGCCATGGAGCGGCCTTCGAAGCACTTTTGACAAGGCAGAGGGCATAAAATGTTCAATGAACAGGAGTGAAGTTAAATGYGATTAAGCAGGAGTCCATTAATCCAGGGCTGCAGATTAACTAGGATACGGTCTATTCCTCTGCATCACAAGCTGCAGGATGGACCCCGCCGTGCTGCAAGGGGAGCTGGACCCAGCTGGGTGCCCCTATGGCCACCATGTGCATCCTGTGCCCAAGGCTCTGCTTCTGCTCTGCTCTCTGCTGGCAAAGAGGAGACCACCTCTGCCCATGGACTATGGCAGAGAGYGTCATGAGAGCCCCTGATCTGGACAACTTCTGCTATGAAGCCATGAGATGCGACCCGAGGCAAAGGAGCTTGTTTGGATGAAGGGAAGGGGTGCAGGGCGACCCCAAGACCTAAGTCTTACCTTGGACCAGTTTGCTCTGCGCAGCTGCACATCTGGCTTATAGGCCTTCTTTGGAGCTAATCCATAGGGAAGAGCAGGAGCTGCACAAGGTGCCCAGCCACCAAAGGCAGGAGGAGGAGGAGGTGCCCCCATTCCTGGTGGGGGTGGTGGGATCCCAGGACATCCTGGAGGAGGAGGTGGGGGAGGGATGCCCCCAGCCATGCCTGGAAGTGGAGGGGGCATCGGGATGCCCCCAGAAGGAGCACC